GATCTGAAGTCTTAGGCTCAATTTTGTCATGAAAATCTTCTTTTAAAATTCTGTGCATAAGACTGTGCATATCCCCACAAGGGGAAAGTCTATCAATAAACATTAGAATGGAGTTTGATCTGCCTGTTCGGTTTAGCTGACAGTTTTCTTGCAGCCTACAGTCTAAAAGATGGCATTTCCCCTCCAATAGCCATGCAGCATTGCAGTGGCATTTCTGACAGCAGGCATTTCCACAAGCGTGAATGGAATCCGCTTTCCCCACTTGTTCCAAAAATGGGCTTTCCAGTCCAATTTGCACAAACACCCCACTATGGCTTCCTACTGTCTTGCAGTTGTCCATATTTGCACCTAGTTAGACAACACAGGGAGAAACACATTATTAGCGAAAAGTGAAATATTCCAATTTTCTGTATACTCAGTGTTACATTTCTGCTCCATTTTTATATAAACTTCATGCATTTGTAAAGATTCTCAAGTTTTTTTTTAACAAATACTATGATCCAATAATTCAGATTGCTTTAAAATATATCCTCTCCACATCTGCCACAATGATTTTTGGAGGAAAGCGGGATTACTGCCTAGCACATAGTGGGCAGGGGAGGGGAGTGATGGAAGTTAGTGTGGTGCCATGAGGCTTCCCATTTAGTTTCCAGTTTGCTTTGAAGACAGGAAGGTGGACTTCAAATTATTGGCAATATGGCACTGATCATGGTTGATCAGTGTTAAAAATATTTTAACTTGGAATAATTACACACAGGTAAGAGGGGCCTACACAAGAGACAGTGGTGAATGGTAACCATAGCAAAGGTAAAATTGCAGACTCAGACCTTTGTTTACAGAATCAAAGGAAGAATTGGAAGGCTACAGGGCAAAGGGGCCGCATAATGTGATTGGCTCTGGATGAGACAGTGGCAGTCCCAGCAGAGCCAAGACCTTGGTAGTGGTGCCTGCAGCTGGACCTGTAAGAAGTAGCACTAAGGCGGCTCAATGGATCCCTGGAGTGAGCTAACTGGAAACTAAATGGGAAGTCTCATGGCACCAACTAACTTCCATCAATCCCCTCCCCTGCCCACTATGTGCTAGGCAGTCACCCTGCTTTCCTCCAAAAATCATTGCAGAGAGTAATCTGCCTCAGGCCCTGCACCCACTGAGATTTACAAATGAAAGACAAAACAGAATGTTTGGAGATAGAATCAAAATCTCATTTTACAACAGCAATTGTTCTGCATCACAGTAAAATTTTAAACAAGTTTAATCATCAAACTTTACTGGAAAATTCCTCACGTTGCTCATAATGGTAACAAGTTTATATGTAACCCCTTTAGCTTGAACAACACGTTTTATGGTGGTGATCATTATTGTTTCGATTTTAGTTGAGATAAATTATTCCAAATGTGCAGTTGGAAGCAATGTTTTATCAAGAGAATCAACAGTCATAACTCTAAGTTTCTTAAAAGTTGGTTTTAAAGATGCTTTATTGAGCAATACATTCAATACAAATCTGAAAGATTAAACATTTTGGAAATGCTCAAACAGGTCGTGCACATCTGCGGAGAGAAAAAAAAGTTAACATTTCTCATTGATGACCTTTCATCAGACCTAAAATATTGAGTTGGATTTTACTGTCCCTACTGGGCATGTTTTAAACAATAGGGGGAGGGGGTCATATCACATGGGGCAAGTGTCCAGCCCAACGTTTTAACTGGCCAGAGCCCATCCCATAACATGGCAGGTGGGTGAGCATGGAAATAACTAAAGGCTCACTGAGCTTGTTGCCATGCCAATTAACCCACGTAATATGCCATTGATGACATAATACAGTTGGCATGGCAGGAAGGACTGGGAAGGAGCCCTTTGCACAGCGGAGGCACATCAACACCCTCTCCCAAAGAAATGCATACTTCCTTCCTCTCTGCCTGCTCTCAGAAACCCACTGCCTAACCCCCTTGCCCCTTTCTGAAAGGTAGTCAAACCCTCTGTACTCTACTCATTTTGACAAGTAGAAAATGGAAAGTCCCCTTGACACCATCCCCACCAAACATTCCTGGGACAGAGACAGTCCGGGGTTAAATGCAGAGAAAAGCTCACAGTGCTCTTTTGGACTGAAAATGAACTGAATGTAAAGTTCCCACAACACGGCATCCAACCGACACACCGAGGACAGGGACAGCACAGGGTTGAATACAGAGGAAAAACTCCCCCAACTCTCTATACTTTTGGTTTACTTTTAGTTAAGTTCCCACAACACTGACCCTATCAAACACTCCTGGGACAGGGATGACAAGGGCTTAGAATACAGAGCAATGGTCCCTCCATTCATTTGAGCTCAAAGTAAAGGCCCCCTTGACACCGTCCCCCTCAAACACTCACCCCACCAGACTCTACGCCCTCAACTTAGCTCACTCCAGAGATCCATTGAGCTTTCTTAGTGCTACTTCTTGCAGGTCCAGCTGCACCCACCACTACCATGGTCTTGGCTCTGCTGGGACTGCCAGCCAATCTGAGAGCAGGACTTCTTCTCCGAGTGACACAAGTACAATTCTTTACCAGTTAACAGTTAACCCACAACACATTGCAGGTCTGTAGTTGCTTTTCACTTGATTAGCTGCTGTTCAGTGTCCTTCTGGGCCTGTGAGCCGTCTGCCACCCCCCGCCCCTGTAAAATTCTGCCCATTAACTCTACGATTCCACAGCTGTTTCCCGAATATTTCTAGCATTTTCTGCTTTTATTCCATAGATCTGTCATAAAAACACAAAGACAGTTTTAAAGAAAATAAATTGCTGCATCTCCTTTAGATTCTCAATGACCATGTGTAGGTTTTTGCCTTTAATCATTTGTGCCTTACAACTCTCAATAGTGTGTTTTGGGGATTTTGTTTTTACTAAAAAGATGGCCTAATAAATCTTATTGTTAACCCTTGTCTTGGGTAAAAGGCGGCCCATAGCTGACTGCTAGCTCAATGTAGTAACATTCTCAAAGGTTAGTTTTAATTTAGCCCTTCAAGCACAGAACATGCCCTCTAGTTTTACGGATCTAAATAAGGTTTGTCACAGACTACATTATTTAGTCCCTTTAGAATCCTAATAGTAACAATATTTGCTCCACCTTTTGAACGTCCCTTTTCCAGTGAGTCTCTGGTCAATTTATATAATCTTTCCTCACATTCTAATCCATTGTTATTCTGGTTATCTTCTCTTGTATCCTTCCAACATTGCAATACCCTTCTATGGGCAATGGTGGCCAGAACCGGACATAATATTATAACTGTATATACACCAACCATTTTTGGACTCAACGGATTAACTGACTATTTCAGCTTAATACCATCCTTTTAAGACATCGCAAAATCTGATTTGCTTCACTCACTGTCAAAATTAAGCTTGCAATAGCTTCAATTTACCAAAGTTTCTGGATCTCCTTCATTCACTGTGTACATTGTTTCTATCCATTTGAGAAACACTTCCTACTTATTTTTATTCCATGTGAAAAGTTGTGCATTTCTCCTCATAGGTGGCAAATGCAATTCAATCTGACCGATATCCAAGTATGTTCTGATGTCTGTGTAATTTATTCTCTTCAGCATTGCAATCTATTACCTTTGCGAGCTTGGCATCGTCTGCAAACTGAGCCATTTTGCTCGAGCCAGGTTATTCATGTGTGAAGTCGTAAAACTGACCACTACCCCACCACTGCCATTCTTCTCCCTCTCTGCCCTGCCAATCTTATCTCAAAGCAAATTAAAAACCTCCACATTACAACCCTCCGGATTCTACTGGTCAATTAATTTCTTTTATTTATAAAAATATTTTGACTGATGTTTATTTCTACCTTTCATGATGAATTGTATGAAACGCCTTCTTTAAATCCAAATACACCATTTTTACTGCC